GAACACTGCTGTTCAAGTGCTGAGATGCATATCAGAAATCATTTGCGTACTGGCTATCAGTATCAGCCCCAAAAATCTGTTGGTGCACCCCTAGAAATAATAAGTTTCAGTACTGTATTAATTTAAACAACATATTTCTTAACAGGATGTCAGCCTGGATGCTTCGTCAAAAGTCTTAACCATTGTTAGGTGGACCTCTCTATACTACTATTCTTTAAACAGCTTATTTCACAACTATTTACGTTTTTGTAAAGTTGCATACAGAATTTAAGAGTTGTTTAGAAACTCACAGTTGGCTGCCAAAGTCTATTATACATTAACATGTGAAAAAACAACTTGTTCAAGTTGTGAGTTTATATAACCTACATACCACCACCTTTTATTTTTAGCAATCTATTTTGCTATTTCTAACATCATCCCTCAAAGGCACTCAAATCTATAGTTAAAGTTCCATTTCTACTTTCCCCCACCCAATTCTTAATATTGCTCCAAAGCCGGCAGATGTAAACATTCAAAGTTCATTAACTTATTAGAACCTTTCTTAAACCTACTAAATGTTTACATATGCAGACATAACCTAGGATTTATTTTTATGGTACCAGTGCAGTATAAGGACACTTTTAATATAAAAAGTCTCTCTTTTTTTCCTTCTGTTCTTTGTATTAAAGCTTTTCTCTCTTTGATGAAGAATCCAGATAGCATTATGTTCAGTAAAGATCTGTCATATAAGGCTGCAACCTGAGCTGTTCTTTCTTTCTGTATTAGAGCGGATGCGGGTTCACAGGGGATTTAACCCCAGAGTCCTTCATTGGTCGTCTCTCATGTCAAGCTCCCTTGCAGCTGTGTGATATAAACAAGCATTTACTCAAATTATTTATCTGAGATTGTATAAAACAAATTTCAGACCAGGCCTACAAGGTGAACAGCTAACACATGGTCTTATTGTAACCATTCTTTCCACCCCCACTCTGAAGTCAACTTTTAAATAAAAAAGACAATGTCACCTGTTTTCCTAACTTTCGAACTGTAAACCAGTGTTCCTTATAATTACAAATAAATGATTTTTCATTTCTGCAAAAAGAAAAACAAAAAGGTATACATAAAATTAAGTACTCTAATATTAGAGCTTATATTATTTTTTAAGTTCTTTGCTATCACTAATTTAAACAACAACATGTTAGAAACACAGTTGTGATAACTACTGGTGCTACGGAACATCTATACTGCTTTTATAATTCAAACTATTTATTAAGTGCTCTTTTTAATCATGTAAACATTAACGAAGTCTCTATATACCTAGCGATGTCATAAGACATATGACATCACATACCACTTAAAGTCAGCATACTGTGATGCCACAGATACTGAGATGTCATGAAGGCTCAGAGGACAGATGCTCACGTAAATCCCCAAATACGAAAAATAAAAGGCTGAGGGGATAAAAAGGAAACATAAAAATGATAACAGAGCTTGAAATGGTAATTTCCAAAGAAACTCTGAGTAATCACAGATTTTCAGCATTATTTTTTCTGTAAAATTAAAGCAGGGTGCTAAAAAGAAAGTCTTACATAGGGTCGATCCCGAGCCTCTGATACTCTGGGCTGTTGAAGAGGATTAGTTCTAAACCCCAAACTTTCAAGGCATTGCTTATAACCTGTCAAAAAACAGTACTTTTCATGAGACAAATCAGTCAACTCCAAATTTAAGCAATGCAACCATTTTAGCTGCTATTAACCATTATATTGTTTTCATAAAACTGTGATTTTAAAAAGTTGCTATAAAAAGAATACCTCGGGATCATAATATTCAAAATGTAACCTTCATGAATCTACATTCAACATGAAACATACAAAGCATTTCTAAGACTGTTACAAAACTGTAGCTTGACAGAAAGATCCTTGCAGAGGCAGAAGGTCTTGTTTAAGTTAAAATCTTATAACCAGCATTTGCTTATTTCTCTCTTATTTCCCCCTCAAAACTACATTTGAAAAACTATTCAAATTGTGTAGCCACCAGAATGGCACAAAAACAAAATTAGATTAATCAGTGCATGTCTACTGACATGCACTGATTAATCTAATACTTGAGAGTTTGTTTACTCCAGTTTGGAGTTTGTCTACTCTAGTTTGTCTGAAAAAGATGTTCATCAAGACTTTCAGTTCAATTACAGGAACTTAATTTTGTTCTTCCAGAGCTGTAATATTGGAACCTTGTTCCAGTAAAGTCCCTGATTTAATTATAATAGTGTGGGAAATACTTGAAATGCTAACCAAAAATCCTGGACTCTAAAAGGGAATTTTTCTAAAGTTCTGGGAAATTCAAAACAAATTCTTAAGATTATTCAATTAGTTTAAAGTTCATGGATGGAATCAAATTCCTTTACAACATTCATTTAAAGCTGTTTATGAGGGAAGTTTAGTTAGTAATGTACCCTCGTTTTAACTGCCCAAGCATATAGTGAGTAAAGCAAAGATAGGGCAAGAAAAATGGATACAAAGTAGAAAGCCATGTTTTTTAGCTTCAAGATTACTGAAGGTCAATTAGGAATACAAGAACCACCATACTGACAGGAAATGGTAAGAAATGTATTTCAATGATGAGACTGAAAAGCAGAATGAGAAAATGAAAGAAAGGACTCTGTGCCACCAGAAACAGAATGTAAGAGAGGCTTACATGGGATTCTGGAAAGAAATACTGACAAACAAGAAGAGACAGTCAAAAAGATCACGTAAAAATCCAATCTAAATGAAAGCTACAAACTGAGATTTTTAAAGGCTGCTGATCATTCTGTTACAAGTATCTAAAGTTTAATTACATTTTAAATTAAATTCTCTTTTTAATATAACTTTTGCCTCCCAAATACCTTTAAATTACAAGAGGCTATAAGAAAATTTCTACAAGTGAGATTCTTTAGCTTTTTCCATATGCGACTCACTGCGATAGAAGGATCCTTGAGCATATCCTTTAACTAACAGGAAGGGCTCTGTAATCCCCAATTTGAGAATCATTAAGCAAGGACACTATATATCCTGAATAGTAAAGAACCACAAACTCCCCCTCCCCCACCTCCTCTTAATCCTATTATGAAAAATTGATGTTTTAGATTTTCTTCAGAAAAATCTTATATATAATGTAAGTGCACTGATTCTAAGAAGTACTTCTGACAACATAGAGCCATGCTTACTTGAATAGAAAAGAATCCACTGTCATCCATATTTCCAGAAGGTTGCTGCTCAGGGTTAAGTATCGGAAAAAAAACAGAAGTGGGAATCACTGAACAGTTCTAAATGATTTGAGAATCAAGTTTAAAAGTAAGTACAGCTATGTTTACTTAAAGCAAAGACTAACAATATCCATTCTACAAAAGACAGGTTACCATGCCTAGGATACGTTTATTTAATAAACTCAGAACTTTGACTTGGCAATGCCTAGAGCTTAGCGACAGCAACCAGGTGCCAAAATTTCTGATCCCATTTCTCTCCCTGGTTTAATGCATCACGGGACAAATCACAAATGCTCCCTTCAATGCTTAAATCTCTTTGCCTGTAAGAGGAGAATCACATCTCATTCACAGAAGTGTTGTGAAGACTTAGTAGTAAAATAAATATTGTAAAAGCAAATTTTGAGATGGTTAGATGCATGAGACTATACAATTGAAAAATATTATCACTTGGATCTGGACCTGTCATTACAGTGCAAAAATGGCAGATACATAATACACAAAACCAAGCTGGTTTGAAGCAATCTACTAAGGTTATAAAGACTGTTACCTGTAAAAATGTTCTGTACTCTTCACTAGACATTCCTCCCTCTGCCATTCTCATCCTCTCTTCTTCATCCAGCTGCTGCGCAATAAAAGATAACTCCACTGGGCTAAAATACTCCCCTTGTAGTAGGTTATTCAGACAGTGCTGAGCACACAATGAACCTTCTTGCTAACATTTGAAAGGGAATAAAAAATAAAACACAAGAGCTATTTTAATTTTTTTGTGATAGTTACATTGTTTCAACCATCTGTGTTTGCCAAAGAACTATATTTACCCCAAGGTATCCTTCAGCTGCACTTTTCTGGCTTTAGACCATAGCAAGAAAGATCAGATCTCTGACACAGTAACTATGTCATATCGTTAAGAAAGCTATAAAAGTTAATTCTCAGGCAAAAAAAATTATTTTAAAGTATACTTCAAGAATTGCCCTAGGACTGGAGCCCCTGAAGTCATGTGAACAATTCTGCTGGTTTTACACATCAGAACAGCAATGGATTCCATTCTGCCCCAGACAGCCTCCATGTGTGACTGATACTCTCTTTCTCATTCTCTATACCACATACACTTTTCCCATGTAGGCTTCCCATGGTTGTGCCTGCATGGAATAAAATGCCCCACATGACATACAGGTCATATATGTTTTTCAGTATGCTTCAAGAAAATATATCCATCTTTTAGTTGGATGAAAATTAAATTAAAAATCAGACAACTCCAAATGTAAGCAATGCAACCATTTTAGCTGCTATTAACCATTATATTATTTTCATAAAACTGTGATTTTAAAAAGTTGCTATAAAAAGATCCAATCTAAAGAGCTAAGATTAAATTAATTTAATTTTTAAGTAAACAAAAACAATTTAAAATTAAACTGGAAATTATAACAATCTATGTTAAGGGTATCTATAATCTATTAAAGTAATTAAAAGAAAACATTTTAAAGCTACCATGGAAGCCAGCAAACATGTATTTCCTGATTAGATTTTATAAAAGTCAGCTTAGCAAACTTGTGGAAGTTACTAGCCAAGCCCCTTGATGATGAAGTGATAAAGCAACACTGACAGTAGCAGCTTCTTTTGCAGATGTACAGAGAATATTTTATTTCAGTTTATTCAAATGGTTTTGTTTAACAACCGGTTCATTCAAAATTAAGAAAACAATTAAGTATTGAATATGGGAGAAAGCTAGTTTTTATTCACATTAAGGATCTTTTGACCAAAAACAGTAAGTGTTTTTATGACAGATGCTAATATGCTAATTTTAAATAACAACAGATTTTGATAAACACTTTTTCTTATGTATCTAACACATTTGCTGCTTTCTGTGTTTTGCAGTTGAATTCAAATTTCAATCTAAATGTAGCTCAGTATAACTCCAAAGTAAAACTGTATAACCTAGGAAATAAAAAGTATACCATTCATGGCTTTCTAAGGCAATATCATGTAAGAAATAAGAATCTGAACAAAAGTATATGAAACTATAGAACTGCTCAAATAAAAAAATCCAAAATATATTACCTAAGGAGAATCAACTTTTTGGGGTAGCAACACTATAGTCAAAATACAAAGCAAGATTAAAATTAATTATTTGAATCAAGGCTTCCTCTGCTGATTTAAATCATTCTATCCTGTCTATGTCTTTTGTATTTTTTTGCTTAACACAGGAACTCCAATATACTCAATTCTCTCAAACTGTGTGAAAAGAATTCTATTTATAAGAAACTTCAGGAAAAATTGTGATTGAACTTTCTGTATAAATTAGACTTATATAAATATAGAAATATAATTTTTAACTTTTTTTTTGGCTTAAGTGAAAGCAAATCCTGGGAAAACTTTAAATCCCCCATTTCACGCAGTCTTTATGAGATTTAAACTGAACAAGGTTTGCCCTAAGGCACTGATGCTCACAGTTTTGGCCCCATGAGGCAGATGAATGGTGCAAGGCCTATCTGCAGGCCAGATTGGGTCCTGTGTCACCCCAGCACACTGTCTTTGCCCACTGGGATCAGGCTGTGAGGTTTTGTGCTACCCCCACATGCCAGGATCAAGCCCTGAACCACTGTGCCTAAATTAGCATGCATCACCACACCCCACAGATTGGTGGGTATTCCCACAGGCCAAAAGATACAGGTATATAGATCCAAGGGCTGGATCTGGCTCATGTGCCAGAGGTTGGGCATCCTTGCTCTAAGGTAATTTACTTTACGTGAGCTTTTGTGACATTAAGGGCAAGTCAAGAGGCAAAGAAACGGGAAAAAAATTAAACCTTTTGCTTGTAACAGGAAATTAGCTTTAGTGTTTAATATGGAGGGCATAGCAGCCTTCAGTGACTAGAAAGTTCATAGGCTCATCTACAAAAGGTGTTTTGTAAGTTATCTTTGCTAATCCTCAAAAGAAACTTACAAAACATCTTTTGTAGATGAGCCAAGAACTTCACTTCATAAGTCTACTGGATACAAAAATCATAGACTTAATATAAAAATTGGATTTATGCCACATTACAACCTGCCTGACATCTGATTCACCAGATACTTGCCTGAGCTTACCATTTGCATTCTTTCCCCGTCTTATCTCTACCCATTGTCTTCCTAACTTCCACCTATTTACAATTTCACAGATGTCTTGTAGCACTTTTGGCTTCTTTCCTGCCTTGGAGATCTCAGAACCAGAGCAGTCTCTGAAGAACGGTGCTTGTGCCTGAAAGCTTACAAAGACCATTTTTTCCAACTAATTAGTTGGTCTAATATAAGATATAACATCTACCCAAAGAACCATGCCTTATCTGAACCATACTTTTGTGCTGTCCATCCCTCCTTTTAGTCCTATCCCAACTTATTTGAAGACAAATGGGCTTTGTTACATATTATACTTTAAGCTTCTCAAATATCTATCAGCAAGGTTTTTTAGTACATGTGATAGCTTTTATTAGACCAACTCAGTAGTTGGGAAAAAGTCCTTAGCCAAGCTTTCAGGCACCGTCACTCTTCTTCAGGCATACGGAGTCTCTGCTGGTCTTAGACTCTGGTCTTAGACTCCACCGAATAAGAGAAGTTAGAAGTGTGGCAGGATGTCAGTGAGAATGTAGATAGGTAGAAATTAGAAAGACAAAAGGTAAGGCAGAGGAGGGAGGGGGAAGAAGACAGGGGAAAGAAAAGGGAGACATTATAGTGATAGAATACAAGGTAGAAAAGAGGCTGTCTGAATAGCTGGAGATTAGGAAAATAGGACTGAGAGAAGCTAAAAGTGTGACAGGATGTCAGTGAAAATATAAATAGGTAGAAATTAGAAAAACAAAAGGTAAAGTAGGGAAGGGAGGAGGAAGAAAGCAGAGGGAAAAAAGGCTAAAGGGAAACATACAAAGGCAATAATACAAGGTGAAAGAGAGGCATCAATGAGAAAGGAAATATATGGAAATCAGGAAGACAAAGAACAGAAAAGTATAGGAAGGGAGAGGAGAAAAGGTGGGGGAAAAGAAGAATGTAAGAGGTCAGGTTAGACAGGTACCTGGTGAATCAGATGTCAGACAGATTGTAATGTGTCATAAAACAAATGTCTATTTTGAGTCCATGATTTTTTGTATCCAGTAGATTCATAAACTGAAGTTTGTAGGCTCGTCTACAGTGTTTTGTAAGTTCTCTTTGAGAATTAGAACTGAGAGATTGGAGAGCGACTGACTGTCCTCTGAGAAGTGTGTCCCCACAGCTAGTTAGGTATTCTTGTCTTAGTTAGATTTTCGGTTGTGTTCATTCTCCATTCAAATGTTGATCAACATCAATGTTAGCTCAAGTTTATAACAGTTACACATTTAGGCTAAAATCTTCTCCAACTGTTCTGAACTTGCACAGCTGTGACTTGCTACGAGAGGGGCAGTAAGCAGGAGCCCAATTAGAAACTACAGCTATAAATTGCTGCTAGAGCAGGAGTGGGCAATTATTTTGGCTGGTGAGCCACTTAATGAGTTTTGGTGAGCTATTGAGGGCCGCACACAACATCTTTCAGCTATTTTTGTTTTTTTAAATCTATAATTTATTTAAAAGTCATATATTAAAAGCCAAACATCTACTAAAACTTTATCTCAAAAAAGATTTTTTGTCCTGATTTATGTTTTGAGTACCATATATAGAAGTATTTGTATAATAGCTCAAAATAAAGTCTTACTCTTGTATGCTGTGGGGAGGGTGTGAACATATGTGTGGGTAGCTGCCTGCATACTAGGTCCTAGAAAAAGATGGAAGGGGGCACATGCAGCAGACCCAGGTGAGGGGCAGGTACAAGTGCAGTCAACACCCCCCTGCCCAGCCTGCAGCTGCAGCCACATGGGGTCAAGCCCCACCCATGACAACCTATACCACAGTCCCACAGTCACCTGTGGGTGGCTGAGATGCATGGAAGGTGGCTGGGAGCTGGGACTGGGACCTCGCATGCTGGGGCAGGAGCCACC